CCTATAATCATCCTTTTCTTCTAGAATTTTCTTGTCTGCATTGTTCTTTTGGGATTAGAAGGCAGAGCTGAATACAGTTTAAAAAAAAGAAACAGAACTTGGATGCCACCATCCAGGTTTGTAGTGACAAACACGTGAAGGTATGTTAGATTTTATTCTCTGGTCCTTGCAGGATTGCTCGTCTGACTTATTTCTTCCTTTGTTTATGATCACTGAGCTGACACTTCCACAGACCTGTTCACAGGTTTCTTTTCTGAGTGGCAATAGCTGAGCTAATAACTGTGTATCACAGTTGGATTGATTTCCCCATCATGCCTGCAGAGCATGACTTTGAAGTTACTGATGTTGAATTCCATCAGATAAGGCCTCCTGGTCTCAGCAAGAACCTTTGAGGGCTCGCCAAGGAAACTTAGACATCACAAGTCAGGGAATAGAGTTATTTTAGTATTTTGAGTTGTTCATTTCTGCTGTATTGCTTTCATCTCTTCACACCTCTGGGTTATTAAAGGTTTGTCCAGAAAAAAGAGTGTGTGGGGCAGACTAGATTAAACAGAGTACTAGCTGTTCACTCCTTGGGGCTCATAGGCACCACTCTATTGGTGAAAAATGATAAATTTAACTCCTAAGCCCAGAGGAAGTCTGAGGATATAGAAGCTTAAGCAGTGTTCCACCCTAGTGTGATACAGGGGTTAGGGGAGAGCAAATGGCCATCCAGTTTGGAAAGGTGGACCAAATGCAAGTATTTGGGCACTAACCCTCTTAGAAAAGCCTGGCATACTCTACACAAATGAAGAAATTTTAAATCATTATGTAAGTCTAATGACCTCATTAGATCTCACTGAAAATGTACGACAAAACAGCAAGAAGCTAAAAATTGTTATTACTGCTAATATATTTTTAAAAGTTCTTAATTTTGTTGTGCTTTCTCATTGTGCGTGGTACGTAGCCAACGCAGTGCCACAGGCTAAGATTTTCATTAGTGTTCCTATTTATCTTCAGTAAAAATTAGTTACATCTGAAAAAGCATGTGCACGGGATACATATAAACTGTGTCCTGGTGTTGGTAATTCTGTTGTTCATGCTTGTTAACTTTACTGTAGCCTTAGGGCTCTCATGCTGACTCTGTTAAGCATAAAGCGCTGTAACTCACAGAGTACTGTTTATGTGTTAGGCCTTTAAACTTATCTTGGCAAATATTTCTACTAGTTTTACTGCGTTCTTTATCTTGTAGCAGTTCTAGGTGTTCAAACTATCCAACCAACACTCCCTCACTTGTTTACTCCTTTCCCCCACTCTTCCTCTCTTAAATATTAACAAAGTAAAGGGAAGCAGATCAAAAAGGAAGAGATCTTATACAAGAACTCCGAGGTTGGTAATGCCCACATAAAGTGTTTCAGCAGTTCTGCCTAGGATGGAGGAAGGAGAGGGACAAGTATCAGAAAGAGGACAAAATCTGTTATGGTGATAGTGTATAACAGGACCAGGAGGAGAAACAAAGATGTGCACTAGCTTTATTTCAGCAATGCTGGTCTTTCAAATTGACAATTTGCATAGATTCTCAAATGAAAGTGCACCAGTAACAGAAGTTTGATTGGGATCAACTAGAAGGTGGGAGAGTTGCAGCACACTTCACGTGCCTTCCATGCTGATTTATGGGAACTCTGGATCACATAGCTCAGTAAATGCAGAAGCATCTTGCTGCAGTTATGATGGTTCAACCAGTGTAGGATCCCTCCAACGTGTTACTGCTGAAGACACTGCTGATGTTTGCTCAGCTGTCTGCTCTGCATCCCCTGAGGCAATGTTGGGATCTGCAGAGTCAGGGAAGAGGCTGAGGAAGGAGCACGGATGGGCGGGAGGTGAAAGACTTTGTGGTGGGCTGGGAAGATAGGGCTGTGGTTTTAGAACTGGAGGAAAAGGAATATGCTGTTGAGGCCTTGATTGGAGATGGCAAGATGTGCCATCAGGGAAAGGAAGAGGCTGGAGCTCAAGTTTAAGGATGAGGTTTGGGCAGACAGACTTAGAGTTAAATAGAAGCAGCAGAGTAACAGAAGAGGCTTCTGCTTCTTGGCTCTATTTGTGGCCTTTAATCTAAGACCAGTTCGCTTTCCAAATCATACTTATCTCTAAATAACAATAGAAATAAAATATCAGTGCAGCTGATCTGCTTTATTTTCAACTGTTTGTATACTCATCAGGAAGTTTTAGGGAGTCTTTTATGGCATATTACTGTAAATTACACTTAAATTTGTAGGGCTCTGTTATACTGCACCTTGTAGAAGCTTGATGTCAGTATGTCTTAGTGAACAGATTTCATGTTCCCATGGGGGTATGCAGTTTTGCTAGCAGTACATGTGCCAGGACATTCAGCAATGGTCAGTGGGGTGGAAACCTTTGCTCGAGTTTTCAGTTTTGACTTGTTTAACAGTTGTGATTTGATGGATTAACAAAATAAATTGCCACCAACCCTGCTCCCCTCACTTTAAAAGATACAGTTCTTGGTAAGCCACCTTTGGAGGGACACACAGCAGTTGGGACTCATGTCATCAGTTGATTATTGAAAGCCCTGACTCTTAGTTCCTAAACTGACAGGATACTGAGTAAGTGAAATGCCTAACAAAAAGGAAGATGTCTGTCAGAAATACTGCAGCTTCCCCCAGACAAGGATGTTTTAAATGTATAATTTCTCCTTTAAACATTCTGTGTGAAAGCTGCTTAAAAAGGAAAATGTTGAGGTAATATTGCTGTCTATTTTTGAGTATTTCTCATCCTTTCAATTCTTGGTATGCTGTTGTCTGTGTGTGAGATCTGCACTATCTCAGAGAACGGCGGTGGAAGGCTGAATGTACGTCCATTTCTATGCATCTAGGGATTTAGTCACAGGCAGCATAGGCAGTTATGTAAAATATATCCTGGGGAAAAGTATCATGGTGTAACTCTTCTTATGATGAAATTCTTTAAATAAAAATTTAAAATGTTTAGTTGAATCTTGCTGGTGATAGTGAGCTCTGCACCTCTTTCCATGAACTCCAGAATCCTTTAATCTTTTGCATTTGCTGCAATTGCACCTACTTCAAAGCATTGCTGCAGGCGTTGGAAAGGATCCTGGCACTCGGTGGGAATAGGGCGGGGATGTGAAATTCTGTCATCACTTGGAAACGGAGCCATTTCTGAAGTGCCAGTGTGATCTATCTTTACAAAAGGGCACCAGCATTATGCAACTAATTTGGGAATGTAGGGAAAAGTGTCTGTATTGGCTGTAGTTTTAAAATATCTTTAAAAAAAAACCCTCACTCTTTATATTGAGCAGTACTTGTCAATCTAAGGAGGGAGCTGAAGACAGTATGGTAATGATTACTGGGCTTTTTACCTTGTGATTTTGAAACCAGCTGTAAGGTGATGAACCCTGGATGTGATCCAGCCATTGATATGTGGGTCTGGTGGCACTGGAATGTAACAGAGGGTCCTTGAGATGAGCTGGAGAAGAGGGAGCGAAAGTGTTAATTTGAAGAGGCAGGGCTGTGTTACTTTTAATAAAGAAAGTAGTCTGATTTTTAGCTGTTATCACTTGTCTGTCAACTGATATTTTAAGAAATAAAATCTACTTTAGGACATGTTGTTTTAGGTGAGCTGACTTAGTGTGGTGTAAGCTGAGGGTGGTGATGCCTTACAAGAGCCAGTCCTATGTTGCTGATACCGGTAGGAACAGTACCCCAAACCTCCTGCTGACTGCTGTGAGAATGATCAAACTTGTAATGAAAATATTTGCCCTCTTTCAAGACTGATATATTTGTATGAATACACACAAAAAAAGCATGTGATTCACAGACACCTTGGTTTCATGTTGGCTCATATTCAGGGGGAAAAAAGGTTCAGTCATAAAAGTCTCAATCATTAATGGCACCTGCTTATGCTGAGTTGTGCTTTAGCATATACAACCGCTGCTTTGACTTGCAAAGCTGCAAGATACTGCTTTTCATTCAAGGAACTTAATTGTGGAAGAAGCTGTAAGATTTTTATGGTACTTAGATTGTTTTATTTTAAAGACCATATTAAGAGCATTCTACAATTAGATTTCAAAAGAATTAGGCACTATAATGCATTTCATGCTTCCACTGTTGTAAAGAATTACAATTCTTGGGGTATAAAAAGTGCCTAAACTGCTCCTAAAAGTGAAATCCAAGTGCAGCTTTTTGTTATGCAATGCACTTAAGTGATGAATTCACATGGTGTTAGGAACAGAAGGCGATTTTCAAAGTGCTTCCAAGTTTGGAGAAATATATCTAATTTTTCTATACCGAATAAGTTTTCAAATAACCTGTACCACCAACCTCTCAGTAAAGCTGAATCAGTTGGCAGAATATCTTTTGTGGTTAAAACACATTTTAGAATAATGTTCAGACTTCTAAGTTTTGTATTATTGCAATAATTCTGTTAGCTCTTAATACAATGCTCTGTGTCCATGCTCCCAATTAACAAACACCTTAATGTCAGGGGAAGAGCAGGAATTTGCAAGTTAGAGCTAGGAGAAATATGGGTCATAGTGTCCAGAAGTTGTTTTTAAATTAGGATAGCACTTTCTATGATTGAAAAAATAACCTATAAATATATAAATAATTTTCCCTAGAAATTCACCTCCAGTCTTTAATTGCTGTTGGAAAGGGAAGAACTAGGCTTCACTTTGATCTGTAGTTAATAAACTTGATCTTGGTTTACACTTCCTTCTGTTAGAGGAGATCAAAGGACAGTTAAAGCTGAGACCTTGAATTTTGCATGTGTAATGTGATGCTATTTTGTGTTTGGTGTTGAAGACAGTGCTGTTTCCTCAAGGCGATAAGCTTGGAATAGGTGGCTATTATTGAGCCTTTGTGATAACCACTCTGTGTTCACGTTATAGATGCCCAAACAGAATATAATGTGTTCATACCACATGATTTCTCTTAGCCCAGTTATTGGCAAAGATCAAACAAACAGAAAAAAAACCCCAGCAGAAAACCAACTTGTTCTTGTCTGGTACTTTTATTTTTATAAAATCTCTCTACAAAGATTGTAAAGTTCATAGGCAATCTGTAGCAAAAAATAATTTTTAAAAAAACATCCTTTACCTAAAAGAAATAATCATGACACAACATGGCCAACGCTGACATGAATTAATTTATGTATATTACTAGACATGACATCATTCATGAGGAACACGTGTTTTTTCTAATTAATCTTGAATAGTACACAGCCCCTTACCTGCCCAGGCAAGAACAGATTGAGAATTATTGTACATCTGTACTGTAAGAGATCAAACTACCATATTCATTCCAGTTTTCTAGCTTTCTGCATAGATGCATTTTACAATATTACTGTGGATTTTTTTAGTTGCATGATTAAAATAGGATTTTAATCAGTTAACTTTATTCTACAGAAATTCTGCTGTATAACCATCTGCAACATAACCATGTTTTTGTTGCATGACTGTATGAATTGTGGAATTACTAAGTGAAGGATTCTATAGGCAATAATAAGCATATGGGGGGAACAATGCATGTAAAAAATGAAGTTGAACTCCTAGATGATATATATGACCATTCTCTAGTTTTTAACTTTACTTAATTTGTGTACATCGTCTTCAGTTACTTTAGATCTGCACATCCATTGGATTGGCCCTAAAATTATATTTTTTTTTATTAAACTTTCTGGATATAAAAAATAGATGCCACTTTGTCTGGCATGATATAGGGTGAAGATGAGTTGGTCTCATGAGCTGATATATTAGATAAGTAGAGGAAACAAATACAATTTTTCCACCTGTTCATATTTGTTTTTCCTTTTTTAATTTCCCAGATTGCTGTATTTTGATAAGAATTGCTTGCTTTCTTTCCCAAAAACTGCAAAACCTGATCTTACTGGACTGTAAGCAGAGAATTGGAAGAGTCTAAGAAACCATCAGTGTGTAGGGTTTGTTAGTATACACTGTGTCAACAAAACATGGCTTATGGCAGATTGATTCTGCAGGCTCAGCAGTCCTAAAGTAGGCTAATGTTTGGCTGGGAGACCACCTGGGAATCCTGGGTACTGTAGGCACAAACCAAGAGGCCAAGATCAAACCCTTGGCAAATATTAAACCACAGATGCTGAATGAGCAGAAAGACTTCGTTTGGTACCGTTGCTGCTGCTGAGCTGACAGATGGGAATGACACCCGACCAACAGCCCTTCCCCCAGTGAAAGCTTTCTGTTGATCTGCAAATGGCTGAAGGACATCCAGGCAGCAGCATTCAGTGTAGCCTCTTTGGGGCTAACGGCACCATGTGTTAGCTGTCTGTGAAAGCAAAAAGGTTTTGAGGAAAGTCAAAAAATTCCCTTTTCTTTTTTTCCCGTGAGGCAGTGTAGGAACAGCTACCACAAGGAGACAGGGAAGAAGAAGGAAATGTGGCCTCTGTGGCTGAGAAAAAGACTGGGACTTGGGTTTTGCCAATTCCAGCCTAATGAGTGGTTTTGAAGCAAAATTGTTCTGGGGAAGGGTTGATAATAGAAAAATGTATCTGGCAGATTTTGTTTTTGCTGTAGATCTATGATAGGAACAAAAAGGAAAAAGAAATGTTACCACTGCAGGACTGCTGGGAGTCCATTTTTCTGTCTCTTGGCTGTCTTAGCAATTTAAACAGATACTCTCTTCTAAATGTCTGGCATTCCTAATTATTGCTGTAACTAATTTGTCTTGTCTTTTTCATGTTATTTTATTACTTTCTATCTGATAAAGTGTATTTTTGTATTTTAAAAATAGTGATGTGTAGCTTTTTATCATTCAATTTTTAATAACATTTTTTGCAGATTTACCAGGCGAATAGTGCCAAGAAAAACAATTTTCCTCAGCTATTTTCCTATAGTGGAGTGGTGTCTCTCCTCTCTTGATACTTTATGACCTCAGAAGATCTTTATTGTTGTCTCAGAAGGTCTGGAAGGCAAAGATTAAATTTTGCTAAGGTCTAATCAGATTTTCATAAAGTTGAGCCAGAAGATGAGGTTGCTTCTGTCTCCATTTTTGACTGGTTTGCACTTTATTTTTTTCAGTTGCATCTCTGACTTCCCTGCTGTGGTGATTTCACACTGGTAGTCACAACACTGTCTCCTTCTCAAGAGAGAGGAAAGCTGCAGAGAGTGGGCTGCTAAGGAGCTCAGTGTGATGGCAGAGTTCTTGATCCTGTTCTCCTGAAATTTCTGTGATGCTTTTCCATGTCTGAATTGGAAGAGCAGGGCATATAAGTTCTTGGCTGCTGTTGCTGATTTTCCTGGTATAACTGTAGTGATACTCTGTAAACATCTCTGAAGAACCAGTGTCATAGCAGAAAGGCAAAGTGAAGGGCAGGTCTGTGTGATGTCCACGGCAGGTCTGTGTGATGTCCACGGCAGGTCTGTGTGATGTCCATGGCAGGTCTGTGTGATGTCCATGGCAGGTCTGTGTGATGTCCATGGCAGGTCTGTGTGATGTCCATGGCAGGTCTGTGTGATGTCCACGGCAGGTCTGTGTGATGTCCACAGACTGACCACAGGCAGGCGGTGGGAGTTTTCCAGATCGTTGTAACACGCAATGCAGCTTCTCTTGGTTCAGCACTTGGAGTAGGATAAGGTCTGTGCTTTTGGAGAGCTCAGGGTGTGGGTCCAAAGTGCAAGACTTTCACAGCACCAGTCAGAACCTGCTGCTCTGCAGTTGACACCTGACTGTGTAAACCATAGTTTGTTGATTGCCCACTAGACATGCTTTGCATTTTTCAGTTTGCTTCAGTCCTACTTTTTGCAACTGAGCCAACAGATAAGAAATATGAGGTGCTGGCTTCACCTGTATCCATGCCACAACTCCTGCTTCCTTTGAGAGAGCTCTCTTCCTTGTCCTACTCTTCTGCTTATTTTTTTTGGGTTCTCCCCTCAACCCTTTTTCTGCTAAAGGATTTCTATAATGCGGGCAGAAAAGGTGTGGTGTCTATTTTCTCGGGGTACTTAGTAGGTGCAACATTGATGAATAAAATGGTTGTGGGAGCTAAATATGGGATGAATAGCTTCTATTATATTTAATTATCCCTTTGACCATGTGCTTAGTGGTATGGGACTTTTGGTGGATGGATAAAATGGATATGCAACAGGAACAAAAGGTGAAGGGAGGAGAATTAAAAGGTAGAACAACATATTTCACTTTTTTCAAAGATTATTCTTGCCCTGCTAATTTGTGGAAAAGAAAACCAATTGAGTAACATTGTCACCTAGTCTAGAGTCATGTTGTTAAAGACATAGTCATAAAGAGGAAGAATTAAAAGATGTGTTTTGTAATGCTGGGGCCAAAAGTCCACCTGTATGCTGTGTGCTAGTGCTCAGTACTGAGTTATTTGCCCCCTTGGGGTATGAGGGCCAAATCTTTGTTTACAGATTGCACCCATTTTAACCCAAGAACTATTAGTTTTTCTGGGATGAATCCTCACATCTGTGCACTGAGATGATAAGTGTGTCACCCAGCAGGCTGGTGGTGAGAGCTGTCCTGTCCAGAAGGGCTCAGTGCCATGTCCTACTGCAGGGCAAGGCAGTACAGCTGCAATATCCTGTGTGCTCTTAACATCTACCCTGCTTTTAGCTGACTGCATCCCTGGGAGCAGCTTGTGTGGATAGCTGACCTGCATCTTAGCGTTTGTTTCCATCCTCGTTCTTCAAACACTGTCGAGTTAAAATTATGAACAAACCAGCCTGGTAAACTTGGCAGATTCTCACTTTATTCATGACGGCAGATCTAATGTTCCCTGACAAATTGTTCCAGAGAAACTGTCTTGTAAAATACAAAATCTGCCAGTTTCTTAATACCAAACTATATTCCTATTAGGACACAGTGTTAATGGTTCAATAGAAAATACAATGCTTGCTGCAGAGTGAATCTGAAATCATCTAGCATACTTGATTGTTAACTGAGCTAACTATCCAGTGAGTGCATCGGCTGCCATCTGTCCATTTACTTGACAGCCTTGTCAGGGGGGAAAAAAGAATAATCTTGAGAGCTGGCAGTGGTCCAGTTTGCTGCAGGTCTGCTTTCTAGTGTTTTTGTAGCAGATGTTGTGCCACATGCCCAAAGCTGCTGCATGTAAGCTGCTGTGTGCTCAAATTTTTAATTTTGGGGGTGTCTGACTGTCTTTGACACAAGATTTGCATTTCTCTAGCAGCCCCTTATGGGGTGCCTTTGTTATAATGATAATCTGATGAAAGAGCCAGAGTCAAATCTTCTGGGCCTTTGTCACAGGTTTTCTGATGGCTTCAGTGGACACTGGATTGGACCCTGACTTGCTAATTGTTAAGGTTTTGTTTTTTTTTGAAGTCTGGCATTTATAAGACACTTACTATGGAATTAGGGAGCCCTCAAGTTTGAACTGTGCTTTTAAGGGATTCATTATGCTTATCTGAGATTCTCCAAAACTGTTTATATACATAGGCACACGTTCTCTAATGGACAGCCAAACTAGAAATGACGCCAAATTTTTCCTTCTGTTATCTTCCATATATAACATAATTCCACCGAAAGCCAGTTGATCCTAAATTAATGTAAATCAACCAAGGTGAGGTGAAGCTTTAGAAACTGCTGTGTTTTTCAATTCCATGATTAAAATGCCTTCCTCCTCCTGTGCAGCTCGGTGGTTGTCAGCGGAGTAGCAGGAGGGAATTATCATCTTCCTGCAGCAACCCCTGCTGCAGCTGATAGGGAAGATTTCTTCTCTCCTTCCTTGCTTTTCATTAACAAAAAGCAAAAGGAAAAGAAGTCAATTAGGCAATGCAACATGATATATCTCTGTACATTTTCTACATGTCATCCACTTCAAGAGGTTTGCTATATGAAACTGATAACATGGTTATTATCCACAGCATCTTTCTTCCATCCTGGTTTATGTTTGCACTTGATCACTTTGTGGTGGACTGCCTGTATGAGTTCTTGGAGGATGAAAAATGGTTTGACTGTGTCTGTTCAGCTGTAAAAGCGTCTGCCAATAGATTTGCTTCTGACTGTATGTGTAAATAAAATACAGAACAAGAGGTGACCTATTTTATGTGTTAGGTATGGGAAATTTTCCAGTCTCAGTAATTAATTTGTCACCTTTCAGTGGAAAACTTATAGGTTGTTTCTTCAGCATGTGGCTTAATTTGCTTTTGTACGTTGTCCGTGCTTCTTTGAACTTAAAATATGTGATTCAGAGTCTCTGCTTCTGAAAATATCAAAGGTGTACAAAGTAAAAATGTGATTACAAGACTCAATCTTCTTAATTAGTCTCTATTGTTCAATCTGTTAAAAGCCATTTGCCTGTCAGGGAAATGCATCCCATGTGCAGGGAACACTGCTGGAGTGCTGCAGAAGTGATATGTTTTGAATATCCTGAGTTTTGGGAAAGGCCTTCGTAATATCTCTAACTAGAATACCAACTAGGTAGTTAATCATAATCTAGCATCTCAGGCTGAGAAATGCTCCTAGTTCATGCTGTGCATGCAGACATCTGTTACTGAGCAACAAACGTCACTCTCTTTCCACATGAATTATTAGCAAACATTAAAAAGACAGGTATACAGTAAAAGTTTAATGCCTATGAAATGACCTGTGAGGCTGCAAATGTCTTAGCACATGGAATATAATTCCAAGTAATAGAGATGAGCATTCCAGAGTATTTATGATGATTTAAAAAAAAAATTAAAAAATATTCCTGCCATGTAAAAATGAAACAAATTTACTGTTTCAACAATGCATGCTTTATAAATGTACATGCTATGGTTTATGGAGGCATTTAGCTGAACAAGGCAACAAATGTTTTCTGGTAAGTATTTGTCTACAGTTGAAAACGTGTAGTTGCTTTCCTAAGGATTGGAAGTAATCTCGCTAAAGCAGAACAAGAAACTTTTACAATATCAAGATGCCAGTAGAGAGTGGACAGAAAAACTGAAGTCAGATGAAGATATGGCATTTATTGATCTTATCTGATAAAATAGTTCACCTTTCTGTAACTACTAGTATAAGAATAGAATTAGAACAAGCTGTAGCTATCACAAGCATTATATTTCCCATACAATGCATAATTTAAGTTATATACAAGCATCTGCAGTATTTCTCTAACATATAGACATCAACTTCTATAAAATATTTGCATCAGGACAGTTTCTCTTGTTCTTACCTGTTTAATCCAGAGACAGATGTTGACAGTTCTGGTGCCCAAGTGCTTGTGCCAGTGCTCCAGGATGCAGCACCTCTCTGTGCTGCGTGTGCATTGGTATAGATACTGAACCAGATAAGATTAATCATGGTACAAATAGTTTTGAAGACAAGCAATAGAAACAAAGAACTTGAAAGTTCATATAAATAAGGCTGTGTAGAAATCTTACTTTTTTATCTTCTCTCTATCCTCCTAATCCTAAAGTCAGGCACTCTCCCTGTCACTCTTCTTTTCTCCATTGCTTAGCAACACTCATGGGTGAACTTACTTAAAGCAGAGCTTTGTTCCCAGATGTGATTTCAGTAATATTTGCAGGCTCAACAGTTCTCAGATGTGAAAATCAACCCCCTTCCTCCACACCACTATTAGCCTACTTCGCTAAATAGTCTTTCTTGTTCTCTTCTGCACCCCAGGCATGTTTCAGTTTTTGTCTCTACTGTTTTGATCTAACCAAGAGTCTTGTGGAAAGAGGGGGGAGGTTCAAATAAAGCTTTAATTATGGAGAACACTCATACAGTGTGCGCAGCAAAGCTGCGTGTTGGGCATAGAATTTGAGCGTAAATGCAGAATAGGTCAAGAAAAGAATTGTTGTTTTTCTCAACTCAATTTGATTTTTTTTTTTAAGTTGAGATAGAATAAAAGGCATTTTTCACACCAACATTTACATGCTGAATTGGTATGACCAACTGCATATTACAATATAGCCTTGAACAATCATTTTAAGTGGGGAGAAGAAACAGTAGCTAATTGCTTCCTACATAGTTTCTCTAATTTTGGCAATACAGTGACATATCAGCACTTCCTAGAAATGTTCAGCTTGCCAGGCTAATCTGTATCTTTATTCAGTCCTATTTCTGGAAGATGATCTGGTTTATCCATTTGGTTTCCTCTTCCTTCATCTGGCTGCTTTTCTGTAGTTGACTATACTTTCAGTTCTGGGTGGGTTTTGTGTGTGTTTTCTTCTGCAAGCCAGAAGATGTTAATGTACATCTCTTTGATCTTAGAGACAAGCTAGATCACTCACCAAGGAGACTTGTGTTGAAATGCAAACATTTTCTATTGAAGTCTCTCTCAATTTATGTGCAGAATGCTGTGTTTATATGTAAAAGCTGGAGGTAAGTCCTCAAGAGTTCTATTGTTTCAACAGTGCCATAACCATGTTCTGATATTCCATTGAAAACTCCTTGTGTTTTGAAATGGAAGACTTCCCATTTATGGCAAAACTTAGAGCTTTTGCCAGACAGAATAGTCTAATGTAAAGGCTTTTATATTTCAGCCTCTGTTGTGGATTTTGAGGTTGACACTTGGCTGAATTACCAGCCTTGTGAAACCAGTAATTTTTGGGGGCCTGTTGCTCAGAAAGGATGAGGTTGCACATGTGCTCCCTCAGCTCTAAGACAGTTAATAAAATGAGTAACTCTAAGAAAAGGCAGAGCAAATAAAATGCAGTGGCCAATTTCTAGCATACCTTTTATGATAGTCACAAAGAAGATTCTGGGAAAAGGCTGAGAACTTGGAGAATTGTATTTTATCTGTAATCTACTTGACTCAGTTTGTCTGGATAGAAACCAAATGAAATTCTGAGTTACTGTGCATTCTCTCACTGGGTTTTGTATCACAGAGCTTTGTTGTAGCATACTGTCCATTCAACAGGAGGATGAATTAATGAGGGCCTGTGTGTCCCTACATGAAGTCATTTATAAAATAAGAGAATTCCTGAAAATTCATGACAAGTACCAAAGAACTTTGTAATTCCTTATTCTATCTTGTGTGTACTAGCTAGTGCATCTTGTTTCTCCATGGAAAGTGTGCTATTCCCTTCATATTCTTGCATGGTAGCTATGTGGTTTCTTTAGTTAAGTGCTGGATATTATGAGGAGAAGACCAAAAAAAAAAAAGGAAAAGAAAAACAGGACGGAAGGTGCGTTTGTTCCTTTGTCTGAGGAAAGCAAGTCAACTTTGTATCATTCATAACATGTCAAATTGATACAAATACACTTTTTGAATAAGATGCTAATTGTTTAAATACGTAACTAGGAGTTGATCTGGACTGTGTGAGGTTCCTCAGGTGTGTTCTGCCTGTTACCACAGGCTCAGACACTTGCCAGGTGTTACATGTGCACAGGTTCTGTGCTGTGGGAGCTTTCTCGCAGTTCCAGTCTCTTTCCTCATGTTTGCTTCCATTCCCAAGCTTTTTCTTTTGCTGACAGAGAACATTGGTTTTTGCTTGAAAGCAGATAAAGGGGTCGGGTTGTTGTTGGATTTTTTGGGGGGTTTGGTAGTGATTTTTTCTTTTTTTGTGTGTATGTTATAAAGCAATTTGGCTAAATATTCAAATGAAAAAAGGTAAACCGGCTCAGTCTTACTGTCTTTCTAACCTCTTCAAACTACTCAGTCTACTGATCTGTGTGGAGCCTGGCCATGGTTTTGCAGGAGGCCATGCAAGGAGGGAACCAGTTCTCCATTGTAATAGCCCAGTGTAGCACCAGAAGTTCACAAGGTGCCTTGCACCGTTAGGTAGGATTAGGCATAGTGGTGGTGATGAGGATGAAGATAACACACTTATGCTTTTCATGTTCAAAGCACTTAAAGACAGTATCAAATTAATCAGGCTGTGGTACAGATTAAATATTCCAAGTGGTTTTCCAGTTTGGTTGCTGTCATTATCAGCACTTTGCAGGTGATGGGTTACTCTGCCTTTACTCTTCAAATTCCTGATGCAGTTCATAAAAATCCTGCTGACTTTGCAATTCTGACAGAGACCCTGAAAAACACTGCTTTTATTTGGAATAAAATTAAATGTTTGACTTTGAGCATGTGTAGAAAACCAGGGCTAGAAAAGTAAGTGGAGAAACTCGAGTACTGTTGTGACTGAACGTCCTGAAGGAGTGCACTGGAGTATGTATCCCTTTTGTTCTTTGTACTGAGGGCCTGGATTAAGCAGGCAGTAGTTGTGAATGAAGATTATGCAGCTTTTTGGGGAAGGATCCTAAACACCTAGACTGTAAATTATGTTGGTTATACCAAGTGTTTCCAAGACCTTTCTTCTTTCAATCTTGGAGTGCTATTGCTTCTGTCAGCATTTGAGATGTTTGTTGTAGTTCCCCCTACCCCTCTCTGTTTGTTTGTTTTGGTTTTTTTCTACGTAAAATTATTCCACGAATTTGAAAATTGGTTGGAAAAATCAAGTACATGAGGGTTTGTTTCTTTCATTTTTTTCCTCCAGAGAATGCATTATACATCTGGAACACTTTGCTGTGATGTTAACTTTCCAACTCTCTCACCCTCGTGACTTCAGTATTTTTCATATCTTGTCTTATCTCTGTTCTTGGGCTTTATGGCAGAAAATGTGTAATATTTGTGTGCAGCTGAGGACAGAGGGTGGACTTGGACTGAGCAAAGACTTAAATGTTGTTCAGATATAAATGGTGTGTAATAACTGTGCAAAACAGATTTGCTGTTAGACATCAGCCTTGGCGCTGCACACATGAAGCCTCCTATATGACATCTAAAAGTGAAATGTTACCTTGCTTTTGCAGGCAGCTGTAGATAAAGGTAGGCCAGGACACTGATCTTTCCTGTGTTTTAAAATTGAAGAGCCAGTAAGTGTGACATGTGAAATCCTTCCATAAGTTGCTTCTGTGATTAACTGCAGTGTGGTATTTCAAAACTTTTAACTCCTTTCCTAATGGAGCTTTTACGTGTCGTTTAAGTAACTCTGCCAGGCGACTGTGTCATTTCCAATTCGAACCACCTACCTTTTGTGCCGCATTCTGGGTAGCCCGGAACGGGCTGGAAGCACTGGCAGAGCCCTCCTGTGGCTTGTTTGGTATGCGCAGCTTCCCAGGAATGGGCTAAAACGGTAGGACACTGTCGGCCAAATCCTGCTGGGATTACACACTCCTACTGTTGAAAGGCATTGCGAAATCTCGCTCATTTCCCAGTGAAGAAGTCGGTACACTTGGTGTAGACAAGTTCTGATTCTGTGCACATACTCTGCTCGTGTTTCCATTCCACTCCTTGTAGCTCTAAGGGTGAGAGTTGGGGAAAGCGACACTGAAAAGCCACCCAACGATCTGGGCTCCAATCCTACAAGTCCTTAGACACTTGCCAAACTTTATTTGCAAGCAGTTGTATTTATGCTCTTCTGCAAACTAACTCCTTTGTGTCTAAGAATTCTTAAGCATCAGGGCTTGAAGGGATGGTCTCGTTCTATTGCAATAGATGGTTTTGTCAGTCTTCAGTGGGCGAAAGAGTGTAACTTAAAACAGGTGAGGTTTTTTTTCTGAACATGGCTGCTTTAATAAGGGCATGTTGTGTCATCAATTTTTAAGCTAAACTCCCTATAGAAATCAAAGAAACTTTCTGCTGAAAAATCAGTTGTACAGTCTGACCCATAGTTACTGCCTGTCATACAAGGCTGAACTGCTTTCTTTGTAATTTGGCCTCTTTCTTGCCTCCAACCCCTGCCTCTTTTTTTTTTTTTTTTTTTTTTTTTAAGTATTAAAGCAAAGCATGTGCAATCTCTTTGGAGCATGCATTTAGGTAAGCCATCTGATGGCTGAAACTGCTTCATTTCCTTTGACTGTGGAGGATAAGTTAGCTCCACATGAAGCTATACCTCCTGCAGACAGCAGAATAGTATGTGAAATATTTAACATTTTAATTGTGTGAGGCTTCATTGAAAACCTTATTTTCCTTGCTATGTGTCATTTAGAGAGGCAGTGCTGAGCTACTGCTGAAAATCGGAGCCCTGACAGACAGGGAGTATGGCGCTTGTTTAACAAAGAACAGCGTGCAGACTCCATAATGCTTAAGGCTATATAATTCCATTTTCTTCTGTAGATTCAGTCTCATTGCTTTAGTGTCTGCAACACATGAGCTTTTAGTATTCAAGAAAAAAATTCAAAGCCTGCCTAATGCAACACATGAGCTTTTAGTATTCAAGAAAAAAATTCAAAGCCTGCCTAATGCGATGTCATGTGCAGAATAATTTAGGTTTCACATAATAGATGTTTACTTTTTTATTGTGTGATATACAAAGAATATAGAACTCTTTAAAAAAAAAAAAACAAAACAAAACACCAAAGCCAACAAACCAACAAGCAAACCCCCTTAGGTTTCGTGTTATCATTGTTCATATAAGAACACATGTATGTTTTCAAGTATTTGGTTGCCTTTTTTTTAAATTTCTAATCCAGATGAAAATTATCTTTCCACACAAACCCTGCCATTAGTTCAATAGCTGATGTTTTTATGACACAGTGAAAAAAATGCAACCTCCAGGCAAGATCATTCATTTTTGCTTAATCACCATACTGGGAAAATTTGACTCTTTCACATGGGTGAAAAATGACTTTTCATGGCAAATTTGTTTGTTATACTCCACCCTTGCATTTAGTAAGGAAAAAAATCCATCA